GTGATCACACAGCGCCTGAACAACCGACACGAGAAGCCAAGCTGTACTACGTCATGTGTCATCCCATCGCGAGCAACACGACGCGAAGTCATGTGAAGGCTTCTTGAGTACTCTGACAATTCATACTGCAATTGGCTCTCTGTTCAAGAGGTAAGCCACGGTCAAGGCAGACTCATTATGAGCAGCTTCCAGGAGCTTACGCCAGGGGGCTCAGCGGACTCACCGCCGGTGAGTCCAAAGCATCGCATGTGCGTATCGCGTTGCTCGTCTTGCTCGCGACGATGAGCTATTCCGGGAAACAGTAGCTACGGACCACTTCACATATAAGCCAGTGTTGATGGCGACTTCAGCTAGGTTCTATCAAATTCACAATCTGTCGTCAACTCCATCGTTGCAAGAGCACTGAAAATATAATCATCGACTTCTATAAACCCTTGACATAATCATCAAAATGTCTTTCCCACCTATCCGCTTCACTCCTTTCCAAGTCTCCAGCGCACCGTCGTCTGGCCAAATAAAGACAAAGCAGCCTTCTCATCAACCGGAGACGTCCACAGCGTCCAATACGTCTGGCAACTCCACTACGTCCAGTAACTCGACGTCAAACACTGACAACTCCAATACTGCGACCTCACATGACGGAAAATAGCTAGAAGTAGTTGACGAAGAACCCATCCTGGTAAGCCACCGAAAATTCAACTATTTCCGTTTTGGACATAACGAAATAGAGTAGAACGAAGATGGTCCATTGCGGCCACGATGGGTTGTATCGTATAAGCATCGGTCAAGTTCGCCTCTGTTTGAGAAATGGTCACTCTTGTCGACATCTGAGCATTTGGTTTGAATGTACTTGTCAACTTCACCTACCAATTCCACACACTTTCGTTCACTCGGTGCTATTCAGTGATCGCAACGTGGTAACAAGTCTGAGGCTCTAAAAGCAATTCCACATACATCTCCAGATTTTTTCTCAAACAATCCGCCATGCCCAATGCGTCCTTCCATGACCGTATAACTAGACCTCACTCCAAGGTACATCCTTTCATTCCAACACCCATAGAACCGGTCCTCTTCATGTCTCAGATTCATCGGCACGATGCCCCGCTCGACCCCAGCGTACAAGCACTACGGCCGTAACCCACTGCCGCGTTTTGTCGTGTCATTCGGTCGTACTTCGCGGTGACGAATACGAGGGTGCTGATGCTACTAACCCCTCATGCAATTACGCGTACACTAACATGATGCCTGCATTGTGACATGTGTTAGGGACAGTTTTTCCTTTTATCCTAAAGTACAATATATGGGCAGGTTTGGGAAGACAGAAGTAAACTTCCACGTTTACAGTGTCAAAAACCATCAGGTCATCACGACGCAATCTGGTGTCTAGAATCACCGTCACAAACACATCACAGCTGGTAAAGGTGGGTGTGAATAATATAACATTGAGTAATACAGATTTTCGTTTTCGCTTTGAATGAAGAAGACGTCGTGGACATTGCGAACGAACGACCAAAACCCTCACACACCTACCCCCGTTTCTCTTCCATCATGACGCCTTGCTGAACGTTTTCCAAAGAAAAGGAATTGACATAGGAAATTATGTTTGGGTATGTTGTTGTTGTAGTAATCATCGTAGTGCCAAAGCCGTTCCTCTCCTCTCCCAGTCCAATTCATGTGTCTTCGTCTTTTCTTCCCTTCACTCTGCAAACAGAGAGGTAAACAAGCCATCCTCTACCTACCTCTTCTCACCCATTTGCACACCCGCCTCAAGCGCAAGCGGTGTCTTCTCCCTCCGCTCTTGTCCCTGACCGCTGCTGCTCGACTCACCCTGTGGCCTCCGTCCGATACGTGCGAGCCAGCTCTCGGCACTCTGTACGGTGCCATCAACGACAGTAGTAATCTGGCCCATCATGTCAAGTCCCTCTTTCGCAAAGGCCAGCATGCGGTTCGCGCCTCTGACCTCATCGCCGCCCGCGTGTTCATTGTTCGCGTTGCGGCCTGCGAGCTGCCATCGCTGGGGTACGGAGAGCAATTGTGTTCGGACAACCGTCTGGGCGTTTTGCGGGAGAGCACCGCCGGTGTAGCGGGACACGGACTGCACAACGGATTGGAGGGTTTGCCAGATGTCTGAGGAGAGGACCTTGATGCGGTCAGCAATTTGACGGACTTGATCGTCTTTGTCGGCGTCGACGAGGCCCATTTGCGCCATGGTGCCATTTAGTTGCGTCTTGTCATCTTGGGCAGCGAAGCCGCCAGACTGCCTCTGGTTGCGGAGGGCAGCTTCGTATTCTTCGAGGACGAGCTTAAGCGCGCGCATGACTGAGTCAATGTGGGTTGTTGCGCTGCGAAGAAGACCGAGGCAGAGCTTCAACGACCGCAATGATGTCTCTGATAGAGCTACACCGAGACCGGACGTTGTCATGATGAGCTGCGTGGACCAGTTGACGCGACGATCCTGCGGAGTATTTGAGCGCTGTTCGGGCGACTTGTGCGACGGTATATCTCCAGAGATGACTGCCTCCTCATAGTTTGGAGAGCGCTGGTCGTCGTATGCAGGGAGCGACTCGGAGTATGAGGATTGTGAGCCGCCTCTTGTCCGTGAGGCTGCTGCAAGAGCATCATCCACGTCCATGGCGTCATCTGCTGGGCTCGCGATCCTTTGCCTCTTGCTCCTTGAACTCTCGCCATCTCCCTGCTCGAGGTCGCTGGGTCGTCTGTCTCCTAGATAGCGGCGCAGGCTTTTCTCCATGCCCGTCCGCCTACCCACAGATGACACAGTGTTGACCATGGGCGATCCAATGTTGCGCTCAATGAGCTCAGCACCGTACTGGACCAGACGTGGAGTGTAGCCTTTGGTGGTGTTGTAGGCTGAGATGGAGCCGTTGATACCATTTCCAAGCCATGGGTGATTCGACGTAATCAGAGAAAGGAGTGGCTCTGGAGGTTCGCTTGTGGATTCTCGAGCAGATAGCGTGAGGGAGCGTGCCGTCGGCGAGCGAACGAAGTCTGCGATGGTCAGTCAGCATACATTCCGCGTCATGAACAGCAACCGCAACAGCGTCGTGACATACCCGGGTTCCCCAATCCGCTCAACGCCTCTGCTGCCAGCCTTACATCCGGATCGTCCATGCTGACACTCGTTTCCCGTCTACCCACGTTGTCATCCTGCATGCTGCGCACACTCGCGGTATCCATGGGGCTTCCCACGTCTTCACGCGGTAGACCCTCTGGCGCTCGTGTGAAAGTCGCATTGTTCGGTACTGGCAGCATGCCCCATTGCGATCTGTCGTACTGCGACCGCGGGCTGTATTCTATTGAGTTGTGTGGAGTATGACGCGCCTTCGTGTCCGGCAGGTCTAGCGACTTGATGCCGGGCAACCTCCCATGATCCGGCACATGGCTTGGGATATGCGTCGGAACGGAAGGGAGGTGCAGCGATTCGGGCTCGTGTTGTGTATAGGCGGGCGGCGGGGCACGCTGTAGTGGTCGTTCCTGCTCCATGGTAGGATTCTCGCAGGACCGTGACGTTTCTAATCAACCCGACTACCCCACGTTCATCTATGCGCAGACTACGCCGGGTTGTGTCTCTGCGACTCTCCGATCACTTGTCCGGTGCAGCGCTATGTCCGTGAAAGCCGTCGCAATGCCCAATGATGATGCGGAGGGTGCGCCTCGAAGGGGTATTCTGCTCCGCGGAAGCGTAATCGGAGGCCGAGTGCGAATTGGGGGACGCGATGATGTCGTTTCAGGGGATGCGAATCTCAGAAGACGCACAGCATGGGAGCGCAGCTGTAAATATCGATCGAGAGGCGTGGAATTGTCGGTTATCGCATCGTGGAGCCGGAGGCAGGGTTGGAGGGGGATGACAGCGCGAAACGACGCCGGGCAGCAAATTGGCGATCGCCTCTCACATGTCAAAATCCTATCACATGTCACGAACAATCCACCCAAGCCAACGCCACCATGCTTGTCGGCCTTTACCCCGAGCGAAGTGACACCGACGCAGACACCTCAGTTGTTAATTTCCATCGAGTAACGACCTGTAGTAATCCTTGGCGTCCTACGCATTCCCAGGCTGCATCAGAACATCCGAACACGCTGTTATGAGTTTGGAGTTGACGCGACGATCTCAAGTAAAGCTGACGACAGGAGCCCGGTACATATGTGGGGCTGCAGCCGACCTCTAAGCTGCATGAGTAACGTAACAACACATTACCCGATGTACCTTACTCTTCTTCGCCTGTCTTACCAGACCTCAGCACTGCATGTCTATTGCACGTAACTTCACCAGATCCATTTTCTCTTGAGCAAATTCTTTCGGGGCCGTTGACGTTTTCATGTATTCAGCTGTAATCGCCCGTCATAGTGTACACGGCTGGGCGATCTTCTACTGAGTGGTGTGCGATGGCTGTCATATCAAAACGAGTATAGTCGCCCGTTACACGCGCAACTCGGTAGACTTCCCTCGGGCTACATTAGCTACATGTACCTCCAACGAGCGTCCGCAAAAGGCAAAATACACATATGGAACATGAAGCAGTCATTGACGATTATGCATTATCTTTCGTTGAATATTGTCTACAACGTGCTCTACCGCCCATGCCAAAGCCCAAGACTAACACCAGAGTTGTCGTAACGCGAACCGACCAACCATGCTCTTACATGCTTTTATCGTGACACGGGGCCGGACCAAAAGTGTCGAGCCCCAAACATAGCAATTACAATAAGATATGGAAATTGTAGCCCTCCAGGCTGATATCGTGTCAAGAACGAATTGGTAGGAGCCCGGCCGAAAGGTGGCTCCACTTGACGAAGATTGTTCCGAACCGGTGCTTGGCCCGTAACATCTGGCTAGCCCTGAAGAGCATCGAATGCTACATCAGATGCTATCGCAGAGTAGTTCGAGTGCTTCCACGGCGAGAGGCCGTTGTGCGTCGTCCAATGCTTCAAAAAGCTCTATCTGCCGCACAGCACTTCGCATGTCCTCCGAACGATCGAGCTTAGGCCTTGCGGCTGCGGGTCGCGCGTCCGTTGGGTGTGCCGTTGGGCGAAGCTCCTGTAGCGACACCGTTAGTGACACCAGCACGCGAAGTCGAAAGACGCCTGCGAGCTTCACCAACAGTCGGCACCTTCTCGTCCTTCATCTCCACCAACGCGCTTGTAGCCCTGCGGCGGCCCTTGGGCACCGGCTTCTTGTACGTGGCGAAGTAGAAGGCGAGGAAGAGGAAGAGGTACGACGTGATGATGCAGATACCGGAGATGGCAGCAAACTCCTCACCAGCACACTCGCCCATGTTAGGCAAGTGTGGCCAGTAGGTGCTTGTGAAGTAGGTCCACGAGGCGAAGTAGATGAAGCCTTGATGTTGTTAGTGTGTGATATGGAATGTGGGCGGAATTGGACTTACCAAGGTCGAGGACGAACTGGGTGATTTGGCCAACGGTGATGTACTTCTTCCACCAGATGCGGATTCCTCGCGCGCTCTGGAAGTAGTACCAGTACATGACAACGTGTACAGCCAGGTTGAGAGTGATGACGGGCCATGAGACGGGAGTGTGACCAATGAGCTGGGTGTAGCAGAGGAGAGCGGTCGCGCCGTGGTGGTAGGTGTGGAGGAAAGCTGGGCTTATTAGCGATGCGACGTCGATGTTGGCTTGCTGCACTTACTCAATGGCTTCTTCTTCAAGAACAGGAAGCAAGTGTCAATCAACTCCAGGAACTTGGTGAGGTAGTTGAGCTGCACATGTTAGCAGCATCCTGAGCATCTCGGCGCAAGTACTTACGTAGTACAGAATGACCAGCTTGTCGGTCCATCCACCTTGGTGGTCGCAGATGGCGAAGAAAAGACCCTTCCTGACAACGATGGGGATCAATTGCTCAGCGAAGAGGAGAAGTAGGGTGCCGCTGATTGCCGTGAGGTAGAAGTTGTGGACCTTGAAGAGAAAGTTGAGCTTGAAGGGCTCACGGTTGCGCATGAGCTCTCGTCCACCGAAGATTATGATGTAGTAGGTAATCAGCGTGACAACGCAGACCTTGAATGTCGAGAGCGGCGTCTCTCCTTGGACGAAGCGGAAGTCCTGGGGCTTGTAGCCCGCGATGGGCTCGAAGCATTTCTCGAAAATAGGCCACAATGCCAGGCCAAAGGGACGGTCGAGCGTCGGCGCGCCGACTTCAAGCCAATCTGAGCCACCCATTGTGTGCGAGTATGAGTTGGGACTGTCGAGGTTGGTGGTGGTGTTCGGAACGGTGGAAGCCCTGGACGTGGGGATTTAAAGGTTGAGCCTAGCAAAGCGACTAGGTAAACAAGACAAACGTGGAGGAAGAGAAGGCAACCGCGACCGAGCAAGTGCAAAGCACAAAGGAGTGACGAGAAAATGTGAAGAAGTAAATCTCACACCGAGCCAGATGGAGGTGATGCGCAAAAGGTTATGAAGGGCCAGCAATGTTTTCTGGCTGCGCGCGGAAAGGAGGTCGGAAATGACTGCTGGGGTCTTCCGCCTCTCCCGCACCTGGGCCCAACGCGCCGTTGCACGTCCAAATTACGACACATTGCAGACCGAGGCCATTGACTTGTTTACTATTGGCTACGCTACTGTATTGCTCTCCTTTTACTTTGGTATCGCTGCTGACCGCCGCTGACTACCTTTACCATGTTCTCACACGCATGCATTACCACGCTGGCTCGTGGATAGCGTGCACTTAGGCCTATTGACGTAAAGTCCTGTAATGCAAACGTTGTCCACCGTCTCTGCGATTCACTCGGCGCGTACCACACTTTGGCTTTTGTCGCAAAGTAGAAGCAAAGCCTCCCAGAACGTGGCATCGAGTCGGATATCTTGGCGTTCCGAAAGCCGAGGCGCCCCTTGAAGTTAGCGACCTCCCAAACCGGATCGCAGGGAAACCTATGCGGCTCCCCGTGTCTATTCGCGTGGTAATTTTAGCTTGCATGGCTTCGACGGTGTGGGATTCCCTTGCAACACTCTCAGCACTGGCTACCACAACGCGAACGAAGTAAATAACAATACCACCCATCCGTGAAAGAAGTCTCCTATGAGAGCTCACGATAGTTCTCAACATCGCACAGCCTGCGATTGATCTGCAGAGCAATCAAAAGTCTTTAGAAATTCTTTATATTCCGCGTCTATCAGTGAAGAAAGTCCCTATTTCGTCGTCTTTCACAAGAAACATCATCCGGAACACCCAAATGAAACGTTCCATGTTGTTTTGGGAAGAACCAAAGAAACTGCGACGCTTGATGCCAGATAAACCACATGATATCGCGACTACAATCAGCCCTCAAAAGACTGGCAGTGAAGCAAGGCAGCAAAAAGAGAAGAGAATGGATGCACCCAAGAAATCAAGAGCTAACAACCCGGGTAATCGTACCTCCAGAATTCGACCTTGCACGTCCACCTGATGGTCGCGACGAGACGACATGGCCAGAAGAGGAATTCGGGCGACTGTTGCTACGTGGTCGGCCAGCCGAGCGGCGAGCGCTGGACGAAACGTGGTGCTCCCCTTGCGAAGTATGATGCCGTCGCTACAAAGACGCAAAGCACAAACACGTCAGATCCACCTGAACCGAAATGCAAGTCTTGGGAAAAAAGGAAGAAAACCTAGGAGTCTAGGGATAGAATTAAGAGTACATCGATTCGGCCACACAGAATGCTCATCCAGAGTTCTAGGGACTTAAGAATCAACGTACCGAGGTTTGGCTGCCTTGACGCTCATATTCCTTTGGCCGCCTCTCTCTCGATGCTGTTCCGTCATCCTGTAGACGGAGGTTCTCCAAACGTGACTCCGAGTCATCCATACGCATCGGGTCGACGGCGGACTTCTCTGCAGTGCCGTTTGAACGTGACTCGGCGAGCTTGGCGAGCTTGTCCCAGCGATCTTGTCGACTTTGCTGTCTTTGCGTTGCGTTGTTTTGTGACTCGGCGTAGTCATGCGAACAGTCGTCGAAGAGTTGCGGGTTTACTTCCATGAAGAGCTTCATAGCATTGTACACCATGCCGTGGATGGTTCTGGGCAGATAGTCAGCAAGCAAGCCATGTCACCAGAGTGCAGATACGTACCGGTTCCAGTGTCCCTTTGAGTTTTCGTACAGCGGTGCGAACATGATTGGCAAAATGACTTCGACATTGTCGCTAACCAGATTACAGAAGTACTCGTTGTTCCAGAAGTACAGCGCTCTCTCGGCGACCTGGAAATGAGGACTGGCCACTGATTTGGCTAACTGGTTGAACAACGGCTCCTGAACCTTTGCGAACTCGGCGGGGTCCATAACCTCGAAGATGTCCTCTACTTCGTTCAGGAACATGACTTCTTTGGTACTGTTCACCTTTGGCCAATAGCGGAGAAGACCCAAAACAACCTGAACGTGTAAGCCTAGCCTATTGGATCTGGCGTATGTCCCTACCTCTTCTGTTAATGCCGCGTCCTTTTCCAAGAACTGGACAATGCAGTACGCCAATTGTGGATGGTACATGCTCAGACTCTTGACTTTGTGGAGCGGGATGAGCACCCTCGTGAGGAATAGCTTGTGCTCCTCCTTCAATGGCAAAGCGAAACCGTTGATGATGGACCCGAGAATCTCGAGAAGCTCGGCGATACCGTTGAAGCGCTCTGTCTCGTAGATGAATTGGAAGAAGACGTTGTTGATGGATCGGCGGATGTAGGAGCGGAGGTTGAGGAATTTGCCGTATATGCGATGGAGCGTAGTCTTCAAGAAGTCGCGTTCCCGGGGGTCTTCAGAGTCGAATAGCTCGAGCAACTGCTGGTGTTAGCTAGGGGAATCTAGAGGACAGGTCGGGTACGTACGTTGAGCACGAAGCTGTGGTCTATATAGGCTTTGGCAATGTTCGTGTTGAAGTCCTGGCTTTCGATGAAGCGAAGGAAGAACTCGTAGACTACCTGAATGTGCGGCCACGCTACTTCCAGTACCGGCTCGTCTTCCTCTGGGTCGAAAGCCTCGCCTTGGGGGTTCATCGGGGGCGGGATAGGACGGAACAAGTTCTTCGCGAACATCTCTACGACGCGTGGGTACATCTTCTCGGTGATGACCTGGCGGTTGTTGGCGACATAGTCGAGCAGCTCGTGCAGAGCCAGGCGCTTGATCTCCTTTGACTTCATGTCTCCGCTAGCATCGTTGAAGTCGAAGATGATGTTGCATTGGTCGATCTTTTGCATGAAGAGTTCCTCTCTCTTGTTTGGGGGCACCTCGTGGAATCCGGGGAGCTTTTCCAGTTCACGCTGACGTTGATCCGAGATGTCGAAGCGCGACGAGTGTTGTCTCTTCGGGGTTCGCATGCCCTCGATGTTGTCCTTGGGCGTCGCTTGAAGACGGTCGAATATTCCCGACTTCTGGCCCGCCTTTGGAGGCGCAAGATCACCGGGCATCGTCTCGGCAGCGCCAGGAGGAGGCACATGCTATTGCACTGGTTAGCCTACCAAACACATATCGGTTGATGCGCGGGTACTTACAGGCGCGCTTGGGCTGATGACGACGCTGGGTGCCAGGGGCTGCCCCAGCCTAGAGGGCGTGCCTGGACCTGCAGCGCCAGCGTTACCAGCAGCACCGGGGCTCATCATGCCCTGTCCGCCGAAAGATTGGGGTCCACCCGCGAGGGAACCGGACGAGGGCTGGGAGTTCTGTTGTAGCGACCCAATGTTGGCCGAAGCGCCATCGGCGGCGGGCTGGCTCTTGCTTCGCGCATCGGTGAGCTGCGTCTGCGACGAGGAAGGCGTAGCCTGGGCAGAGCCCGAGGGGGAGTTGGAAGCACCCAGCGACGGCGATGCAGTTCCCGAGGTGGAGTCCTTCTTCTTAGATGACTTGCTATCCTTGCTTCGAGAGAGCTGTTCGGACTATACATGTTAGCCTCCGCGCATAGAGAGGGGTAGGGGGGTGCGTGGTGTGGCCGGGGTCCATGGGGAGGACGAGCACTTACGACCCTCTGCCTGAAGCCCTTCATGGCTGTCGGAATGCGCCCACGGCCAGGTCAAGCGCAGCGGTGTTGCAGAAACGGGCGTCCGAGATGGCGGCTGGCCTCGAGGCGTCGGGGGACAGGTCGCAAGCCGATAGCGCCAATGGAAACTAGATGGCAGGCGCACACACGGGGAATCGGACACAGGAGAGCGTAGGGCTCAGGCCGACATGGAGGAGAGACGCGTGAGGTAATAGATGGTGGCTAGTGTAGCCGTCTAGGATGGTGCACGGGGAGTCGGTGGAGGGAGCAGCTTCGCGAGGGGGGGTCAGACGGCAGCCGGGGCCCTAGCAAGTTGCTGGTGACGTATCGGCGCTCTGGCTGAGGGAGAGGCGTGTATTCTGGAGCTGGAGGGACAAGTTGGAGCAGGTCGTCAACTGACAACTCAGGGCTGCTGCCAGACAGACAGCGTCGAGTGATTCGCGCTAGCCGTCCCGTAGCGAGGCCGTGCGTTTGGGCCAAAAGCCCCGCCGCAGCCGTCACGACATCCAGGATAGCTGCGAGAGTGAAGTAGCACGGCGGGCGTGTCAAGGGAGCGACTGCGCGAGAGACGGGAGACTATTCCGCTGCTGGGCCCGCGGCAGCCTCGTATCATCTGATCTGGCGCTTTGCACGAGAGTCATCGCGAGATCGATCCCTGTCTCTATAGAGAAGCGGCGACGGGCCTCGCACTGGCCCAGGGTCTCATCACTTGTCTCTCGAACACCTACCACGGGCGTACCCATGTAGTCCGGCCGAAGTAGACAGAAAGCTTGGAGCGACTACAAACTCTCGTGAATCTCACCGCCAGAGCGTTTTGAGCTTGCACCTCTCCATCGTGTAACCCAATATGGACAACGCCATGTCGACCGAAGACGAGCATGCGCCCTGGCTGCCCATCCCGTCACGTGCCGTCTCCGTTGTCGAACATCCCGCCATCATCAAAAACGTTGACAAGGGCATTACCTCATTAGGTGGGCCTGTCAAACTAAGCAAGGTCAGCCGGCAATAGCAGTGCCTACCGCTTTGGGAGAGACTAACACTCGCCCAGGGCCTGCGATCACGATTGGAAACCACGACCAACGCCGAAGGTGACGACGAGCTCAAGAAACTCATCTCTGTCTCGCTGCGCCCAGACGACCCCTTTGCCAAGCGTTTGCTGTCCACGCCTGTGAGGACGAACAACCTTCTCATCAAGGTCACGGTGCCAAAACGGACAGGACGCAAACGAAAGCGTGGAACCACAGGGCCCTTCCTTACTGAAGATGAAATCGCCAGTGGTGGCGCTGGCTTATCGAACAGCACCCCTTTTACCAACAAGACGTATGTGGATGCACCGACCATCTACAGGAGCCTGCAAGACAATGCCTCGACGTACAAGGTTGCTCTTGCCGGAGTGGTAGATGAAACTCATCGGTTCCGAAGTGAGTCGAGCACAGTCTTGAACTCCGTGGAACCATCACTGACTCTCCAGATATGCCTGACTTGCAGTATGCTGCTTCTCACAACGAGACCATGGTGGGTCTGCGAGATCACGTCCTGCCGAAACGATGTAAGACTAATTCTAACATACTTAAAATATCACTAACTCATCCTAGACGAACAGTTGTTGAAGTATAATGTCAGCACCGCGGCCGGTGCAGATCTGACCAAAAGCGTTGGGCCATCCCCAGAGTTCATACAGATGCCAATCGCCTTCAACTATCGGTTCCAACAAAACTCAAACGTCAAATACACCGATCAAGGTGTTGTCAATATACAAAGAAGCCTCGCCTATAACGCATACACAATTGTCAAGCCCACAGACGAACATGTACCGACAGGACCCCGACCCGGTCTTCCAGCAGAGATGGATCTTTCACCCTATATGCAGTCACTGATTGCAAACATTAGAACTCTGCTCTTACAGAGACCCATAGTAACCCGGCAGTTACTTTACAACAGACTGGGATGGGACAAGCGAACCAAGCTTCGGCAAGCAGCCATCTATTGCGGATTCTTCTTCGAAAGCGGGCCCTGGCGAGAGGCTCTTGTCCGTTGGGGAGTCGATCCTCGCAAAGACCCTGAATATCGCAAGTATCAGACTGTGTCTTTCCTGTCTTACATCAAGTCAGGCACATCAAAGCACCGCGCGGTCTTCGATCAGCATGTCTTGAAGCTAGCAAAGATGTCACCGGAAGAGTTGGAGACTGAGCACACATTTGATGGTGTCAATGTTTCGCGAACAGGCAACCTCTTCCAGTTCTGCGATATTACCGATCCTCTCATTGCGAAGGTTTTGGCTACAAAGGACATTCGATCAACTTGTGCACCCACCTTCCAAGGGTGGTATCACGTTGGCACTTGGGCCAAAGCAACGGTCATTCTGAAGGACAAGATGAACGCAATTATTGGCGGCGACAAACCGGATGATAGCATATATCAGCGTATCGTCGAATGGCCTGAGTTGTGGGACGATAAGGAAATGGCAGCGCAGTACAAGAGTGAAGTCGACGACCGTCACATACACCACGAGAAGAGGAGGGAACACCAAGTGATGCACAACGTGCGTTGGGCTGCAAGAAATCCGCGCTACGCCTTCGAGAAAATGGAGGAGACTGATGAGCCAGAAAATCACGCTGACGGAGACGAGGCGCCAGACGACGTCGAGGTTCCGGAGGACATGACCGAAGATCCTGTACAGCCAGATACTCTTCTGAACGCTGACATCGGGGATGCGGAGGACGACGAGGATGATCAAGATGGCGAGGCGGATGAAGACGAAGACGAAGAGATACAGGCCGGTGGCAGGAACGATGATCTGTCTGGCAGCTCAGAGCTGGATGACGACAGCGACAGCCCAGTCATGTCTGTCCGAGCGGCGTCAGAGGGACCAGTCCCGTTCGGCGGTTATTACAGGGTATAAAAAAGCTTGAAGGATCTCTACGGCAGTGCGAGAACCTGTGGGTAAACGCTGAACTGTTTCGATTCTCGCGCTCATAGCTATTCTCTTATCTAGCTTCATTAATCCCGTCTAGAGATAGTCGGAGGCAGAGCGTGAATCAGTGACCTTGGAAGACAATAGCGTGCATTGCTTAGAAAGGCGACGTAGCGCGCATGTAGATAATTCGAATGAACATCAAAATATAAGGAATGCTTCCAGATCAACTATAAGTTATATGGCTATGTGCGGCGATGCGACTATGCCATCAGTCCCAGGAACGGGTGCGACCCACTTTTAAGACGGCTTGGCTTGGGCGCAACTCGGATCGCCTGAGCTTTCGTTTTCGTAACCTCACGCGAAATCGCACCACCGACACCACTACTCATCGACACACTGCCGGCTACGCACGCCCAGCAGCCCCGAATCCACCTCCCGTAGCTTGTCAATAGCTCTCCAAATCGCAACATGTCCTTCGTCCGCGCCGCGTCGAAGGTCAGCCGAGTGGGCGTGCGAGTCCCGGCCTACCGAGCAACCCCCGTTGCGTTGAACACCCAGCGTGCTTTCTCGCAGTCGGCCGTCCGCAAGAGCGATGCGCATGCCGAGGAGACATTCGAGGAATTCACCGCCAGGTACGACCAATCCGGGGAGGGGCTGTAGAGTCGGACGGGCAGGAGTCATGTGGAGATCATGGACAGCCATTGAGCACCATTGATGACATCAGGAGCTCCATCGCTGACTTGTGTTTCTTCAATACAGATATGAGAAGGAATTCGAGAAGGTGAACGACGTTTTCGAGCTTCAGGTACGTTGGTTGTCTCCACGATGTGACCCCACCGATATCACCGGACACGGGTTGGGCAACTGTAGGATGCCACGAACAGAGGCAATAGGCTGACAATCGCCAGCGAAACCTGAACAACTGCTTCGCCTACGATCTCGTTCCCTCAACCACCGTCATCACCGCCGCTCTCCGCGCTGCCAGGCGCGTGAACGACTTCCCCTCAGCTGTCCGGGTTTTCGAGGGTACGTCTTCTACTACGTTCCCAATATCAGTCCCGTCTCTTTTTACACAAAAGGGAACCAAACGGCCTCTGGAATACGCTACTTCGGCATCCGGCCAACCGTGAGACGTTGATTACTAACATACGTCACAGGTATCAAGTTCAAGGTCGAGAACAAGGGTCAATACGCAGAGTACCTCCAGGAGCTCGAGCCCATACGCGAGGAGCTCGGAATTCCTCTTAAGGAGGCCATGTACCCCGATGAGAAGTAGAGATCAGAGGATCAGGCTGCGCATATTCGTTATCCCCATGTTCCCGCCCCCACATTTTGACATCGAATACCATGGTGCGCCTCTCCAACAATGTAAATGTCAACTTTTCTATTTCTTATCTTAGACGGAAGACCGGACGTGGATGTGTGGCCTTGTATAACTATGGTGATGTTTCCTGTTTCACACAATGACGGCAGAACTGCAGATGACTGGGAGCTTATGAAGGGTGAGTCAAGCGACGACAGGTAGTTGGATAGATGTACAGTGTTTGTATCTTGCGTCAAGTCCCATTTGACCTGTGAACTTCTGAATGCAGTGCTTGTTGTGATCTTAGTCCGCCGAAGTATGCACTGGAAGGAATGCGTTGCCGTTGCGGCTCTGCAGAGTGTCGCACATATATTTTGCAGACGGTGGCGGGATGAATCACGTTCAATAATATCCATGGATCACCCACGTCCGAAATCACATGAGAAGCACACAGCAACAACAGATTGCCAAAACTGGCTGGAGTCTGCTGTGGAGAGATGACTGTTGGATATGTGCCGGACATGGTTTGGAAGGTGCCACCCGCACGGCGCACAGGGGTGGCGCCGACCAATGAGAGCGACGCGCTAAGTTTTGGGGGTCGGCGTGCCTCCCTCGCTCGTCAGCTCCAGGCTAAGTGCTCTGCAGAAGCTCATCCATCACTCCAAGTCGCGACTCCATACCCGCACTCGGGACGCGCCCTCGCCCCACCACCAGGCCTCACTTCCACAATAACGATTGTAATGACCATATAGGCCATCCCGCCTGCACCTTCCTTTTCAAAATTTAATATTCGACACAGCAGCGACCTGCACCCGATTCCGCACACCACCGCGTGCCACCGAGACCAATGCGCCTGTCTTCCGCTACATTGATCGCGCCACATACTGGATAGCTGCGCCATTGCAGGGCACAGTCTACGAGGACTTCGACAAGGTGGAGGAGCGGCTGTAGGCTGCACGCAACATCGCCATGGCGACTCACAACTTCGAGGCTATGGCCTCCAAGTTGGACGACCCAAACTCTGGTACACATTACATTGCACGCGCTGCACGCCCACAACATGCGCGCGCATCGTCACAAGAGAACATAGGCTGACTGGCGCAGATCTCAGAGTCAAGGGCACCCAGGCGATTGAAATCCGGGACAACATTGAGAACTACTGTCAAGGGCAGCAGTACGCCTCGTTCTTGAATCACCTCGTCCCTGTGTTCCTCAAGATATTAGATGGCAACCCAGTCTTCATTTCCACGTCGCCCGAACAGGTGAGCGCACAACTTGCGACAACTCTACAGCCTTCTGACTCAGAAACAGCGCATACGGAACTGTGTCCTCGAGATCCTGCACCGTCTTCCGATGAACCCGACCGAAGCCATAGAACCGCACGCGGCCAAGATCGTCGACAAACTCATGAGCTTGGTGAAGCTGGAGAACGAGGACAATGCGGTTCTGTGCATGAAGACCATCATGGACTTTCAGCGCCACCAAACCAAGGCGCTCGCGGACCGAGTTCAGCCATTCTTGGATCTGATTCAGGAAATGTTCGAGACGATGGAGCAGGCGGTGCACGATACCTTCGACAGCAACACGACAGCTTCGGCCTCGCAAGGCGTCCCTTCCACCCCGAATAACCACCAATTCTCCCAGTCCCCACGCCCGAGCTCGCCAGCGACCGCCCTCACATCTGGTTCCGCAGGCGATATTGGATCGGAACACCAGCAAACGCGCATGCTGCTCAAGGGAATGCAGTCGTTCAAGGTCCTCGCAGAGTGTCCAATAATCGTGGTATCTCTATTCCAGGCCTACAGGAACTGTGTGAACAAAAACGTGAAACTTTTTGTACCACTGATCAAGAACGTACTTTTGCTTCAGGCGAAGCCACAAGAGAAGGCACATGAGGAGGCCAAGGCGCAGGGCAAGATCTTCACTGGTGTCAGCAAAGACATTCGCAACCGCGCGGCATTTGGCGACTTCATAACAGCTCAGGTTAAAACCATGAGTTTTCTGGCTTACCTACTTAGGGTGTATGCAAACCAGCTGAACGATTTCCTTCCGACCCTTCCTGATATCGTCGTCCGACTGCTCAAGGACTGTCCACGCGAAAAGTCCGGCGCACGGAAAGAGCTACTAGTCGCTATCAGGCATATCATCAACTTCAACTTCCGCAAAATCTTCCTCAAGAAGATTGACGAGCTACTGGACGAGAAGACGTTGATCGGGGATGGCCTGACAGTGTACGAGACCATGCGTCCGCTCGCATACAGCATGCTGGCCGATCTGATCCACCATCTGCGAGAATCTCTGTCGAAAGAGCAGATCCGACGCACAGTTGAGGTTTACACGAAGAATTTGCACGACACATTTCCCGGAACCAGCTTCCAGACCATGAGCGCGAAGCTTCTGCTGAACATGGCAGAGTGCATCGCGAAATTGGAACCTAAGGAGGACGCGCGATACTTCTTGATCATGATACTGAATGCCATCGGTGATAAGTTCGCGGCAATGAACCGACAATACCACAATGCTGTCAAGCTCTCAGCTCAGTACAGCCAACCGTCCATTGATGCGGTCGACGAGAACCACATGGCCGTTCAGGAAAACCCCCCGGATTGGGACGAAATCGACATTTCCAACGCGACACCCATCAAGACATCCAATCCACGAGACCGGAGCTCCGATCCCATTGCCGACAACAAGTTCCTGTTCAAGAACCTACTCCATGGGCTGAAGAATCTTTTCTATCAGCTAAGAGCCTGCAACCCAGCCAAGATCAAGGACGAGATTGATCCGACCAACGCATCTGCAAACTGGCATGAAGTGTCGTTTGGCTACAACGCGGAAGAGGTGGAAGTTCTTATCAAGCTTTTCCGCGAAGGTGCCAAGGTGTTCCGTTACTACGGTACTGAAAAGACCCCTGAAACACAAGGCTTGTCACCGGGAGATTTCATGGGCAACCAACACATGATGTCGAGTGGCAAGGAAGAGAAGGACCTTTTGGAGACGTTTGCGACTGTCTTCCACCACATCGATCCAGCCACGTTCCACGAAGTGTTTTCATCCGAGATACCCCATTTGTACGATATGATGTTCGATCACCCGGCGTTACTTCACGTTCCACAGTTCCTTCTCGCTTCCGAGGCTACATCACCCAGCTTTTCGGGGATGCTGTTGCAATTTCTTATGGACCGAATCGAAGAGGTTGGCACTGCCGATGTGAAGAAGTCCTCCATCCTCCTTCGCCTCTTCAAACTTTCCTTCATGGCCGTTACGCTATTCTCTGCCCAGAATGAGCAAGTGCTATTACCACACGTCAGCAAGATCATAACGAAGTCGATTCAGCTATCCACGACTGCCGAAGAACCCATGAACTACTTCCTCCTGCTCAGGTCATTGTTCAGAAGTATTGGTGGCGGTAGATTTGAGCATCTGTACAAAGAAATTCTTCCCCTGCTGGAAATGCTACTCGACGTGCTCAACAACCTTCTTTTGACGGCGCGCAAGCCGGCTGAAAGGGATCTCTTCGTTGAACTATCTCTCACAGTGCCAGCACGACTCAGTAACTTGTTGCCACATCTCAGTTACTTGATGAGGCCACTGGTCGTTGCTCTGCGTGCTGGCTCGGATCTTGTCGGTCAGGGTCTTCGTACTCTAGAGCTCTGCGTGGACAATCTCACCGCGGACTATCTGGACCCGATCATGGCCCCAGTCATCGACGAGCTGATGGCTGCACTATGGGAGCATCTGAAGCCTAACCCGTACAGCCACTTCCACGCTCATACCACGATGCGCATTCTTGGAAAGCTAGGCGGACGCAATCGCAAGTTCATCACTGGCCCACCAGAGCTGGATTTCAAACCGTACTCTGATGATCAGTCATCTATTGACATTCGACTCATTGGATCTACCAAAGACCGTGCCTTCCCCGCAGCGATAGGCATCGACACCGCCATCGCGAAGCTCCACGAAATCCCAAAGACTCCAGCAGCCAAAAAGTCCGACACGTTCCATAAGCAACAGGCTCTTCGCCTCATCACCGCACATACGAAGCTGCTGGTCGGTTTCGACAGCTTGCCAGAAGACTTCGCCCAGCTAGTACGCCTGCAAGCGAACGACTTGTGTGCCAAGAAGTTTGATGTGGGATACGACATCCTCACCGCATCAGAGCGCGAAAAGTCCATCACCAAGAAGACTGTAGAACAAGAGACTCTCAAGAAACTGCTGAAGGCGAGCATCTTTGCTGTTTCGGTACCGGAGCTGAAGTCGGAAGCGGAGGCTCTGGTAAGCAACTTGGCAAAGCACTTCACGCTTCTGGAGCTGGGAACGCAATTTGCTACTCTGAAACACAAGAACAAGCCGTTCGATGTGCATTCAGGAGAAGGGCCTGTCGTGATTGAGAGCGATGTCATTTCTGAAGCTATTGGCGAGTCTCTGGCGTCAGAACACGGCGCAGTGCGGGACGCTGCTGAACAAGCCATCATCACAATGCGCGATGCTACGAAGGCAATCTTCGGCAATGATAGTTCCTTGGACAAGTTCGTGTTCTTCAATGAGCTGTCAAGTACGTTTTGCCACAACTGTCATGCTGATGACTGGTTCATGAAGTCTGGCGGAACTCGGGGTATTGAAATCATGATCAAACAACTGGGTCTTCCCCAATCATGGCTCGTACCCCGCCATTTCGAACTTGTTAGGGCACTCAACTTTGTCATGAAGGACATGCCTATCGATCTCGACTCGAAGACGCGCATACAAGCAGAAGGCCTCATCCAAGACCTCATCCGACGCTGTCACAAGAAAACGACCAAGGAAGATTTCGATAAGGGCAACAACATTACCCTGAAGCTCTGCCAACAGCTCGTGGGTGATCTCTCGCATATGAACAAGAGTGTGCGCGACGCAACCCAGAAGGCGTTCCAGGTGTTGTCAGATGTGACCGAGTTGAGCGTCAGCGACCTGATCACGCCGGTGAAGGATAGACTCATCTTACCGATTTGGACCAAGCCGCTGCGAGCACTACCGTTCAGTATTCAGATTGCCTACATTGACGCAATCACTTTCTGTTTGAAGCTCAAGAACAACATCCTCGAGTTCAACGAACAACTGACGAGATTATTGATGGAGTCTTTGGCACTAGCCGACGCCGAAGACGAGCATTTGGCAAGTAAGCCTTTTGAGCAGCGGAACGCAGATCACATCGTCAACCTACGAGTTGCATGCATCCGTCTCCTCTCCACCGCTCAAACCTTCCCTGAGTTTAGCACGACACCGCCGAACCAGACCTTCCTCCGCATTATCGCTGTCTTCTTCAAGTGCCTATATTCGAAGTCTCCAGAAGTGATTGAGGCGGCGAACATCGGCCTGTCTGGCGTTATCTCAGCTACAAACAAACTGCCCAAAGATGTCCTCCAGAGTGGACTTCGTCCTATCCTTGTCAACCTCCAGGATCCAAGGAAGCTCTCTGTCGAGAATCTTGACGGTCTGGCACGGTTGCTGAAGCTCCTCACAAACTACTTCAAGGTGGAGATTGGCACACGTCTCCTTGATCACCTCAAAAGCATTGCGGACCAGAACAGTCTGCAGAAGATCTCGTTCACTATGATCGAGCAGAATCCCAAGATGAAGATCGTCACCGGTATCTTCAACATCTTCCACCTGCTCCCGGCGGCCGCTGCGACGTTCCTCAAGCAAATCATCGAGAAGGTTATCGAGCTTGAGACGGCTCTTAGAAGGACGCACTACAGCCCCTTCAGAGAGCCGTTGATCAAGTACCTCTGTATGTATCCCAAGGAGGCTTGGGACTACTTCGCACCCAATTTGAAGGACCAGACCCAGGGACGATTCTTTGCACAGCTACTCGAGAACCCAGCAAGCGAAGTACTTCGTAAGCAGGTGACAGAAGATGCGTCTGGCTTCCTGAGCGCCATGAACCCTGAGGGTACCGAGAAGGAGAAGTGCCAGGCTCAACTCAACGGCATTCACATTGCGTACGCTCTCAGCCAATCCGAAGAGACGAGTAACTGGCTCGTTTCGAACGAAGAGCTGCGAAAGGGTCTCTTCGACGCAGCCAGGGGACTGGAGAAGAAGCTCAGGGTGAACACCCTCGACTCGGAGCTACGTCTGGCAACAGAACAAGCTGGTGATCAGATCATGATCATCTTCACCACGTACCTGAAACAAGAACCGAACAATCTGGATTTCTTCTTCGAAGTAGTCGATGCTGTCACATCTGAGGAGTTGAAAGCCTCACCGCGCCTGTTCGACTTCATCTATGATCAGATCATCTCCAGTGAGTCTGTGGATTACTGGAAAACGATTGTGAACAAGTGTATCGATCTGTACACTTCCCGTAACTCTTCTCAGAAGACGAAGACGTTCATCTTCCGCTACATCGTCAACCCCATCTTCGCCATGGATGTGAAACGCAACTGGGACAGCCTGTTCGGTCCAAAGGCCAAAGGTACCAAGTTCATGGACAAGGCCATGACTGAGGCAATCCACAGCCGGCTCTGGAAACCGCAGTCCACCCTGGAGCTCTCAGAAGACACGGCCCAGCTTGGTGTCGACCACTCACGGATGGAACTCCTTCAGCTTACCACACTCCTCCTCAAGCACTACCCCGGGATGATACAAGATGCTCGCAAAGACGTCATCAAGTTTGCCTGGAACTACATCAAGCTTGAAGACATCATCAACAAGTACGCCGCTTACGTGCTCATCGCCTTCTTCATCGCTGCATTCGACACGCCTGTCAAGATCGCCGTTCAAGTCTATCAAGCCCTTCTCAAAGCACACCAAAACGAGGGTCGATCGTTGGTAATGCAGGCGCTTGAGCTTATGGCCCCTGTCCTAAAGAAGCGCATGCCTGGTGGTGACGCCAAGATGCCTCGCTGGATCCAGTATCCTCGCAAGATTTTATCCGAGGAAAGCTCGAACCTGCAGCAGCTGATGAGTATCTTCAATTTTGTGGTTCGTCATCCGGACTTGTTCTACGAAGGCCGTGAACATCTATCCTCCATCATCATTACGGCGTTGTCAAAGATTGCGCAACCTCCGAATCCCTCGACCGATGCAAAGAAGCTCGCGTTGAATCTGATCAGCCTAATCAGAACATGGGAAGAACGTACAGCAAGCGAGAGCGCCGGTCCTGTCGAGCGTCCATCTCAGTCGCCTCAAGCACTAAAGAGGCGAGCAGACGGGTCGGCAGTAGTCACTAACTCTTCATCGAGGGGTTTCGTGGCCGGACCTGGCATTCGTATGATGCTTATCAAGTATCTGATTCAATTCATCGCCTATCTTCCAGAACGCTTCCCTGTGGCTTCACCAAAATCCAAGGACCCGACAGCGGTCACCACCACCACACCACAACCTGCGGAGATATGCAAGAAGGCTGTACAGTTATTGCACGACTTGCTCTCGCCGCGATTATGGAGCGATCTGGACCTGGATCTCATGCTCAGCAAGAAGATCGAGGAGATCCTGTTAACCGAGATGAAGCAAGAGGACAAACCGGAAGTGTTCAGCACACGCATGATCAACACGCTCCAGATCGTAAAAGTCATCGTGAATGTCAAGTCGGATGACTGGGTGCTGCAGCGCATTCCTCAATTCCAGAAGATCTTGGAGAAGCCAATTCGTTCTGAGAACCCAGACGTGCAGGCCAGTCTTCACGCAACCGATGAGTCGGACGACGGCACAATGAAGCTGAAGCCTATCCTCAAGCGCATCCTCGAGGTCATGCCTGAGCCTGTTACGGATGATGAAGGCAACATTGAAGAATCGCCCTCTACCGAATTCGTAAACTTCCTTGGTACGATTGCTACGGAAGCTCTCTCCAATAGCTCCTACGTCAGTGCCATCAATATCTTGTGGACCTTGTGCCAAAAGCGGCCTGAGGAGATCGATCAACACATTCCACAGGTCATGAAGGCCTTCCAGGGCAAGATGGCCAAGGACCACCTTGCCGGCACCAGCGGCATTCCAGGACAGCCAGTACCACCTGCTATGCGCCCCGAAGGAGCCAACCCACCTACTGATCCTCGTGAGGTCGAGATTCAGACTGATCTGGTACTGAAGACAGTTGACATCCTGGCTGCGCGCATGAACGAGCTTGGCGAGAACCGAAGGCCATATCTCAGCGTGCTGGCTTCACTTGTTGAGCGCTCTCAAACCAACTCTGTCTGTATGAAGGTACTAGATCTCGTCGAAGAATGGATCTTCCACTCCACCGAGCCAGTGCCTACACTTAAGGAGAAGACGGCAGTCCTAAGCAAGATGTTGCTCTTCGAGCACCGCGCCGACACTTCGCTACTGACTCGCTTCTTGGACCTGGTAATTCGTATCTACGAGGACCCCAAGATCACTAGGAGTGAGCTTACCGTACGGATGGAGCACGCATTCCTGATTGGTACTCGAGCGCAGGATGTTGAGATGCGCAACCGATACATGACCATCTTTGATAAGAGCTTGAGTCGCACAGCAGCCAGTCGCCTGAGCTACGTGCTTGCGTCCCAGAATTGGGATACACTCTCCGACAGCTACTGGCTCAGTCAAGTCATCCACTTGATGTTTGGATCGGTCGAAATGAACACGCCGGCACAGCTTCATTCGGAAGATTTCCGTCTCATGCAACCCACCGCTTTATTTGGTTCATATGGAAGGGATCCGAGGATCGCCGACGTCATGGTTGATGACGAACTGGAGAATCTTGTAAACGGTCATCGCCGCTTCTGCAATCAATTGGCCGACATCAAGATCAAGGACATCTTCGAACCACTTGGTCACCTACAACACACCGATAGTAACCTTGCTCATGACATCTGGATCGCTTTCTTCCCGCTGGCATGGACGGCGCTTACGAAGGATGACCAGAGCGATCTTGAGAAGGGTATGGCCGCACTGCTCACCAAGGACTACCATTCTCGTCAACTCGACAAACGACCCAACTGTGTTGCGACCATGCTTGACGCCATCGTCCATGCTAGACCGCGAGTTAAGTTCCCGCCTCACATCATGAAGTACCTCGCTCAGACCTACAACGCATGGTACACGGCCGCTGTCTACATGGAAGACTCCGCTATCTCACCTGTCGTGGATGTCGAGAAGCTACGCGAGAGCAACCTGGACGCCTTACTGGAAATTTACAGTGGCCTACAAGAGGATGACCTGTTCTACGGAACATGGCGGCGACGTTGCCAATTCATAGAGAGTAACGCTGCTCTATCATACGAGCAGTGCGGCATCTGGGACAAGGCACAGCAGATGTACGAGGCTGCCCAGATCAAGGCCCGCACCTCAGTTCTGCCGTTTAGTACTGGAGAGTACATGCTTTGGGAGGATCACTGGGTGATTTGCGCGCAGAAGCTTCAGCAATGGGAGATCTTGAGCGACTTTGCCAAGCACGAGAACTTCAACGATCTTTACCTGGAATCAACCTGGCGCGTATTCGATGCTTGGCAGAATGCTGAGACCCGCGAGCAGCTTGATGCAACCATCAAAGCTGTCAGCGACGCGCCCACACCACGACGAGTATTCTTCCAAACTTTCATGTCTCTTCTCAAGCTTCACAACAAGCAAGAATCGCAACCGGAGTTCCATCGACTGTGCGATGAATCCATTCAACTTTCGATCAGAAAATGGCACCAGTTGCCCAGACGCATTACCCAGGCCCATATCCCGCTACTTCAACACTTCCAGCAGCTTGTCGAACTTCATGATGCCAGTGTTATCTGCCAGAGTCTTGCCCAGACTACGCAAGTCAACCTTGATGTCAAATCTCAAGAGCTGAAGCTGCTCCTCAGCACTTGGCGCGACCGCTTACCGAACTTTTGGGACGACATCAACGCGTGGCAAGACCTGGTAACCTGGCGACAACACATCTTCCAGTTGATCAACGGCGTCTACCTCAACCTCCTCCCGCCGACTCAGAACAACGCTAGCGGCAACTCCTTTGCCTACAGAGGTTACCACGAGACGGCATGGATCATCAACCGCTTCGCGCACGTCGCACGCAAGCACAACTTGCCAGAAGTCTGCATCAACCAGCTTGGACGTATCTACACCCTCCCAAACATCGAGATTCAAGAAGCTTTCCTCAAGTTGCGCGAACAGGCCAAGTGTCACTACCAGATCAAGGCCGATCTCAACAGTGGGCTGGACGTGATCAACAACACCAACCTGAACTACTTTGGACCCAACCAGAAGGCAGAGTTCTACACGCTCAAGGGTATGTTCCTGGCCAAGCTGGGTCAGAAGAACGAAGCCGGCGAGGCATTCGGTACCGCGTTGTACTTCGATATTAAGCTCCCGAAGGCATGGGCGGAGTGGGGCCGATACAACGACATGCTCTTCAAGGAGGAGCCGCAGAATCTGGAGAGGGCCGAGGCAGCACTCAGCTGCTATCTCGAAGCAGCCAGCCAGTTCAAGAACGCCAAGTCAAGGAAATTGTTGGGACGTGTGTTGTGGTTGCTCAGTTTGGACAATCCGGAGAGGAAGTTGGCGGAGAAGTTTGAGGAGTTCAAGGGTGATACACCGGCATGGTATTGGATAACTTACATTCCACAGTTGTTGAACAGTCTGTCACGACAGGAGGCGCCGATCGCCAGATCCATTCTCGGCAAGTTGGCGAAGACGTATCCTCAGGCATTGTACTGCCATCTTCGAACAACGCGAGAGGATATGGCGGTTCTCAAGAAGACGCACGAGCAGAAGGAGGCAAAAGAGAAGGCTGCAAAGGCCAAGCAACAACAGGGGCAAGGGTCACCCGCAACGAAGCAGGCTTCGCCAGAAACCAGACCCGGATCCAGCACCGGCAGCCGGCCAACAACCGCAGGTGCGGACATTAAGGCTGCTGCGAACGGCACGCCCAACGGCACTGTCAAGACAGAAACTGCTACGCAAGATGGTGCACCAGCTCCTAGCGACGCAGCCCCAGCGCCGAAGAAGCCGTGGGATCATGTCGAGGAGATCAGCGCTATCCTCAAAACGGCTTTCCCTCTCCTCGCCCTCTCCATGGAGACGATGCTTGACCAGATCCAGAAGAACTTCAAGTGCCCACCTGACGAGGATGCGTATCGACTCATTGTTGCTCTGCTCAACGATGGTCTGTCATATGTCGGTCGCCAGCCTAACCTATATGCGAGGGAGATCAAGCTACCGCAATCAACTGAAGCAAACATAACACGTTTCGCCGAGTCGGTCCTCCCGCCCCACATTCGCAAGGCTTTCGAAAAGGACTTTGTTACCAACAAGCCAACGATGTACGAGTACATCCAGAAGCTGCGCACATGGCGAAATCGCTTCGAGGAAAGGCTCGATCGCAGGAAGCTCACAGTTCCGCTCGAACAGTATACGCATCAGCTTAGTGAGTTCCGCTTCCTCAAGTTCGACGATGTAGAAGTGCCTGGGCAGTACCTGCAACATCGCGACAAGAACTCCGACTTTGTGCGCATTGAACGCTTCCTGCCAGATGTGGAACTGGTGCGCGGTGTCGGTATTTGCCATCGCCGTCTCAAGATTCGTGGTCACGATGGAAGCGTGCACCCCTTCGCTATTCAGTTCCCGGCTGCTAGAAGTTCCAGGCGCGAGGAGCGTATCCTACAACTCTTCCGCATTTTCAACGGCATACTGGCTAAGCGCAAGGAGAGCCGGCGAAGAAATTTGCAGTTCCATCTTCCGCTTATGGTACCGATTACCCCTAGTGTGCGTATGGTACAAGACGACCCGTCATATATCAACATGCAAGGTATTTACGAGGATTACTGCCGGAAGAATGGTATCAACAAGGATGAACCCGTGCTCTTCAGCATCGAGAAGCTGCGAGCACTCCAGCCAGTAAGTTCTTCCGACGCGCATGCAAGCCGCCAGTCTCTAACCCAACCCCAACAGAAGAACCTTGATCACGCCAACAGCATTCGCCTCGAAACATTCGCTGCTGTGCAAGAGAAATACGTGCCCCCGACGGTCATCCAAGACTACTTCCGTGCTACCTTCCCCACCTTCGCCGACTTCTGGCTCTTCCGCCGTACCTTCAGCTACCAACTCGCTGCGCTCACATTCATGACCTATGTCATGCATATGAATACGCGCTTCCCCCAGAAGATCAGCGTCTCGCGCTCTAGCGGCCGCATTTGGGGTTCCGAACTGATCCCGAGCATGGCAGTTGGTAAGCCCATCTTGCACAACTCGGAACCAGTACCCTTCCGCCTCACACCCAACCTACAAACTCTCATGGGGCCGTTGAATCTCGAAGGCATCTTCGCTCCCAGTGTCATGACAGTCGCGCGCTGTTTGATCGAACCCGAGGGCGAGCTAGAGATGCAACTCAGCATCTTCATGCGCGACGAGATGAACCACTGGTTCACCTCGCAGCATAAGGCCAGCCAGCTTACTCCCGAGGTGCTCAGGGAGAGTGTGCAGAGTAATAGCGATCTGGTAGTCAAGAGGGCCAGCGCGATTGGTAGCCTACCCACGGGCGCCAATCTACCTGCGAACCAGACAGTAGTGGACTTGGTGGCTGTTGCGGTGCATCCGGCTAAGTTGAGTCAGTGCGATCCGCTCTGGATGGGTTATTTGTAAGGGTTTGAGGTCACTGAGGAGATAGGTGTTTGGTGTTTTTGAAAAGGGGTGTTTTGAATGCTTTATGGGGACTCATGGGCAAAAGAAGAGAGCATTGAGGAGTTTAGGCATTTTCATATTTATGTTGCGTTTGGTATGCAAGGCGTTGATATAAATGGTCAAGGAGGTATAGCTGTTAGGTTCATTCGGACAAACTTGCTCTTTTAGCTTCTTATCTGTATGTTTTGCGGCACATGCCTCGTGCGATATGGCCTTGTACTAGTAGATATTTTGTATGGAATACAGTTGCATGTACCTATATCTTGACGAATGGTTCGTTGTGCATCAAAGATATGATAGATGAACTCGTCGTGAGTTGGGCGAGATGCGACTCGTCTCGTTCCGATCGATTCCGAGCGTTCCGATATCAACGCGTCACCCGTTGAAGCGAACCCACATGGACAGCTCCATCCCCAGCCACCATCTTTCTTCAAGGATGCATCTACTCAGCAGTGCCAACACATATTTTGCTGCTTGCGATACGTTTTTTTGGGACATTTTGCTACGAAAGGATTCCATCAAGTGGCCTCGGCGCACGTTACTCCTTCATAAGTTGCGAACCCGTGTTTCCACGAATCCCTTCCTAGCTCACGACATCGGCTTCGTCCCGCACCTGTTCATCTCCACGAACACCCAACAGATAGTAATCCATCAATCAATCAGGCAAAGCGGCCTCAAGGCCTGCGCCACCGAAGTTCGAGGCGCACACGTTGAAACACGTTTATACTAAGCATTACGACAAGCATTACCGACATGACGGTCGTCGGCTCGCTTGCTTCAGGCTTGTTCGCGATAGATGAGCTGACGCGCGCTCTAGCATGCTTTTGGGAATTTCGGACAATTTATCTGCCTTCCACGGGGGATGAACGTACTCCCATGGCGAACACGGTCTGCTAGATCAGTAAACATAGCGGCAGCGTGGTGCTTCTCGTCGCAGCCTTTGGATTTTCCGGGGGTGCAACATAGGGGCGCTATCATTTCTGCGGGCCCACCAGGGACATGAGATTGGCATCGATCTGTGCTAGGATTTGCAGATGGCCTTCGTGCCTAGCCTCACCATCCACGTATATCCCACTCTACTCTCAGGCTCCAATTCTCTCACTCTTCAGTCCTGTTTTCGTTGTCGCTCGTTTTCACTCCAGTCATTCGTTCCTGTTGAGCAGGTCTTTCATTCACGATGCATTTTTCGCAATTTCTGCTTGCGGCGGCTGCTATTGCACCGGCACTCGCACAGCTGTCGGGCAAGGTCGGGCCTTTAACCACTCACGCGGCCAAAACGGCCAAGAAGAGCTGCAACGTTATGGATTATGGCGCGAAAGCGGATAAGTCCACAGATCTTGGACCAGCCCTTCTCAAGGCATTCACTGCTTGCAAGGCAGGTGGCACTGTCGTCGTTCCTTCCGGAGACTATGCTTTGAACACCTGGGTCACGTTCGAGGGTGGCAAGGCGTGGGCGCTGCAGCTTGACGGCACCATCTACCGTACGGGTACCGAAGCTGGAAATATGCTGTTTGTCAGGAATGCCAACGACTTCGAGATGTTCAGCAGCACTGGCAAGGGCGCTATTCAAGGTACGCCAATCTAAGATCGGTCATGTTCCGTCACAGTGCTGACCACAGTTGCAGGCAATGGTTACCAGGACCACAAGAACGGCAAGCGAAATGGCGCCCGTCTTCTTCGCATTGAGAAATCTACCAACTTCGGAATCCACGACATCATTCTTGTCGACGCACCCATGTTCCACTTCGTGATCAACAATTGCACGAACGGTGAAGCCTACAATATGGCGATCCGCGGAGGCGACTGGGGTGGTCTCGACGGTGTCGATGTTACCTGTACCAACTGCTGGGTACACGACATCATGGTGACTAACAAAGACGAGTGCGTCACTGTAAAATCGCCTTCCAAAAATGTCCTGATCGAGAACATCTATTGTAACTGGAGTGGCGGCTGCGCCATGGGCTCTCTCGGCGCTGACACCGCCATCTCGTCCGTTGTCTACAAGAACATCTACACCTGGAAATCTAACCAGATGATGATGGTAAAGTCCAATGGTGGCAGCGGCTACGTCGAAGATGTTGTTTTCGAGAACTTCATCGGTCACGGCAATGCCTGGTCTCTAGACATCGACCAAAAGTGGGCCTCGATGAGCGCTATTGCTGGCAATGGCGTGCAGTTGAGCAACATGACATTTAAAAATTGGAAGGGAACAGTCGAATACGGCCTGAACCGCGGGCCTGTCAAAGTCGTTTGCGCAGAAAAGGCGCCTTGCACAGACATCACCATTGAGGATCTGGCTATGTGGACTGAGAAAGGCAGCAACAACATCTATCAATGCCAGAACGGTTACGGTAGCGGATTTTGCTTGAAGAAGGGAAGTGGGGGCGCTTATCCAGCAACTACCAGCACTCAGACTGCCGCACCCACTGATTACTCTGCACCCACTATGAAAGAGAACCTCCAGACTGCGTTCGGTACAGCCAGTCCGATTCCCATTCCTACGATGCCGGCGAGCTTCTACCCGAACACACCACCGATTACGAAACTTGCTGGCAATTAAGTCCATGTTCGCTATTGTTGACTTCATAAATTTGTACATATTCACTTCTGTTCACAATCCTACATATTCAACCCAAATGCCGAGAGCCTCTATCACATACGTGAATCTACTCAAACGCCCATTTTGGTAGTGGTTTACCGTCGCCACCACTGTATGAGCGCCATTCCTGGTAGCCCTCCCAAACCACCACAGGTAAAATTTCTTGTTTCGGTCGGTCACTTGGATCAGGCTCCAAGCATTCTCCAACTAGCGATCCCAGTTCCAACTGGAAGTAATTAGAGTATCCTAATGGATCGCACTCTGGATCGAGAACATCCATGTTAGGACGCTGTCGCATCTGTCCCAGGCAGAGCAAAATCAGACCAAGCGCATAGATGTCTCCTCTTTCGCTGTAGGTAGACTCCGGAGGCTCGAAAGCGACGTCGACCCAATCGAGTAGCTTTGCGGCTTGGTTTTTCAAACTAATATCCGTAGACTTTACACTGCAGCCAAAGTCGCAGAGTACTACGGTCGGGTAGCTATTCATCGTGTCGCCAGCTAGAGTGCTAGACCATGTCAACAAGATGTTGGCTGGCTTTAGATCGCGATGACGAATGGCGTTCCAACCACGCACGCGGCCCTCTACTGGTCGGCCCTGCATAGCGTAATCGCGTGTCTTTTTGCAATCCTGACCCGTCCAAAGATAGCAGAGAGCCTGTGAAATATCCCAGAAAACTTTCCAAAAGAAACCTTCGTCTGGGAGACGCATCTGGCGTTCTTTGTACCGCATGATTAGCGCATCCAAGGAACCGAGCTCGCAGTGCTGCATCCATATTGAACCATACGTGTGATCAAGATCTGCTGTGTCGCTTCCCATGATTGATACAATATTTGGATGCTTCCGGCATTGTTCCATGGTGGCAATCTCGCTGTGGATCGAATGGACACCGTTTTGGTACGCAGTCACGCGCTTTTCGACGCATGTTTCATTCAAAGGGCGATACTTAACAACGTAGACACCGACGTTCTGTTTGCCACCGTGGAAGCCTTGCGGAGCCTCTTTGAGTACGACATATTTGTCGCGTACGGACGTCTTGACCATGTCTGTGGAGGACATGGATGGTCTGTGAGACTTGCTTTACTTTTGGTGCTTGGGCTACTGGTGGGAAAGAATAGATTAGTAAATATGGAATGATATCTGCTATGAATACAAATCATTGTGAGAGTTGGAATGACAGCTGTGCGTTGACGGGTTGTCTTGTTATCAACGTCTACATGTACAGCGATGTAGTGATAAATCTAGCCAGTGTGAGCTTGACACGCGTACAGTCGATATTACCACGCTGGGTAGGCATTCATCGGTTCAGTCGAGCTTGGTACGAAAATGGCGCTAGAGTCGCCTTAATTACTTGAATGCAGACAGTATCAATGTGATTCTATGACATGAGAGTAAATACGTGACGTGCTCTACTTTCGCTAGCAATATGTTCATGTCTTTTGAGTACAAATCGACATCGCAAAAAGGTCTTAGTCATTGGGCCGTGCCCCCAGCGCTCGCACTAAGCCCCACAAGCTATATCGGTCGGCGTGTTTGATGGGCTCACGATGAAATCGTCGTACGCGACGAGGCTTCCACTGTGGGGTGTGAGCTGGGGTAATCCGCTGGCGTCCTTGGTAACGGTAAAGCGGGTCGAGTAGCTGCGGGAGTTGCATCGTTAGTATACCTTCATCAGACTAGTATAATGCACGCGCAGTTGTGGTTTTGGAACGTACTAGGCCTGAGAGCAGTTTCCACCATCGTATCTCGTCTCGATAACACCAAGCACCTGGTATGTCTTCTCGGCGGTTGTTTCTGAATCAACGGTGGTCACGTTAGGAAGATGGTTCCAAAGCTTGTTGCCAGCTACGGGGAGAAGCTCCTCCTTCAGCGCGACAATCTCTTCGGAGCCAGTAGCGATGTTCTCAAGAACAATGAGCTGCCCGTTGGGTGTGAAGAAATCGGTAAAAGTGCTTGTAGCAGACGGGTCCTCCGCGGAGGCGTAGAGCCTACAAGTTTGGGTTAGTGCTCTAGTCATTCTTGCCGTTTGCGGGAGAATCATGAGATATCGTACTCTTTGACGAAGGACTCAAAACCGACTTCGACTCCAGATCCTGTGGAGTACTGAGTCATCTCGACTGATGCTGCTACGCCCAAGAGGCAGACAGGTGTGATAAAAGAAGAGAGCCTCATTGCTGCTTTTGCTGCTTTTGCTGCGTACTTGTGGAATGTATTGTAAGGTGACGGGAGAGATGATCGTAAATTGATTCATAATCTGTAGCTTTTATACCTATTCATATCGCACATGAGTTGGCCTAGTCCACAACGAAGTAAAATAGTACTCAACCATACCCTCTCCGAAGCAATACCGTGGCTAGCGATAGTAGCTTCACCGCTGCTACGTATGGATACAAACACCAGTCTGCTTCACGCATGCCGTCTGGTTGGTGAGTGAAAGCTCGCTGGCAAAACTGAGACAGCGATGCAGCCAGTCAGTCATGAACAACGAAGAAGTCGGGTTTTTCTTCGAACAGAACGTCCTTGATTGATTTTGCTGCTTTCAAAGGGAAAGTCACATTCGCTAGCCACTGTATTCGAAATGCTATGGTCTAAGCATTCTACGAGATGTGGTCGGGCCGGCGCGGCGGTATATCCACATCGTGAAGGAAATTCGGCCGGGGAAAATTTATAGGTTGCGTCACTTGCTTGAGGCGTCTTACCTTCTTGCACGGGGAGACAATAGAGAGAAGAACCCGATAGCTCATCTTTTTCTTGGACAAGATTGTGCTTCGTAACAACCCTAGGGTGATGTTGAGGGACGTCGCCACGGTTTGGAATTTGAGCCCATTGACGCCTGGGCAATGATCACCGTCCAGCTTGTGGGCCACGATGCCTTGGCTGGACGTTCGAGCCACGATTGAAGGCCGTGTCGTGAAGAAAATTCTCCACAAAGATAACACAGGTGGGTGGTAGTCGTCTTGAAGGTGGGCCCTGTTCGTGATCATGGGACCTTCTGGCTTTCGCGCGCGAGCCTGTCCAATCGTTTCGCAACCATTAGGCATGCTCATACTTGTGCCGCTTCGACCATATATAGCCTGGAGTGTCGTGTTAGCAGCTCATGGCCCGCAAGCGTGAATGTCGATGCCATGGAGCTGGGGCATCATGGGTAGAGAGGGAATGTGCCTCGCGCCTCATTCAAGGTACAAACTGAAATACTGGGTTGCGATCAAGTCAACGAGCTTCCAAGGCAACGTGGACTTCTAGGTTGGGAGGCACCTAGGTAGGTATTCATCTTTTCCCATAGATTTTGTGCTCGCCTCTTTGGATAGGTGCATTACAGCTATGTTACCCAACCAGCGGGCAAGCTGCTTCTCAAGCTATGGAGAGACTGAGGTGAAGCATGGTAGCGTACCTTGGGAACTCGGCGCATTCTTTCGAAGATCAGTGGTGTCCAGCCGCCTCGACCGGGTAGGGCTGCCGGTAGATTTGCGATTGCGCAACAGAGCTGAAGACGTCGGGCGCCGAACGATTGCGCCATGGTATTGACCTTCCTGATGCTCGTTCTATCGTTCATACGGGTGTTGGCGTGTCTTCTTGATGCAGTGGGCCACGTATCGATTGCATTGCTGATCGGCAGGTGCAGAGGGATGGCACACTTGGGCACGGGCTAGTACGAGAGAATAGCAGACCGCTCTTGTGTTATGACATCTTCGCGCGCGACAACGTATTTCCCGTCGGTAGCGGTAGTCAATGACGAAGTGAGTGAATGCGATGCGACGAGGGACCAATTTTCCCCATGGGATGTGGTGGAAAATGAGCCGGCATCTTGATTTGGGGTAGATCTAGAGGAATTGCCGATTGCGGGGTTGCTGCAGGAACGCGGAACTTAAGCTGTACGTCATCTTCGGTACCTGGCGACGGCATGGAAGCTTGTCACCGCACTGTAGCACATGTATATATTCTGGCTATGCGACTATGATGTCGTTGCGTTTAGAGTTTCCAACTAGTATCTAGCAACGTTACTACTGCTTTCACCATGCGACTCTTCACCCCAATCACTGCACTTGCTGCTGTTACTACCTTCACAATGGCACAAAGCGCACCAGAACCACCTCAGATGACCCTAATTTACCACATGGAAGCGCTCCTGGGAGAAAGATTCTCGCTCGGTTCTATTCCAACCGGGCAAGAACGCATCGTCATCCCTATCGTTGGAGGCACTTTCAAGGGACCAAGAATAAGTGGTGAGTAGTCCTCTTGGCCTAAACATGTCATCGTGTTTCAAAGATCATGAGAGAAGGCTGGGACATGTCTTCGACAGCTCGTGCCTCGTGCTCTTGTGTATCATGACGTCATGTCACTCACATCTTGTAAGGCAAAGTTCTCAATCTCGGCGCGGACTGGCGCCTTACGGACGCGCAAGGCGCTTTCCGACCAGACGCCCGATACAATATCCAGACCGATGACGGAACCTTCATATACGTACAGACGATAGGACTCCCACCCGCTGCGGATGGTGCCCCCACGATGTTGCGAGGACAATTCGAAACCGACACAAACGGAACTGCTGCGTGGTTGAACGATGTGGCTGCTGTCGGCGTCCTCAGAAGGAACGGAACGTCGAGTGTGATAATCGACATGTGGCAGGTACGTGGAGGGAAAAGAGCACGAGACGAAATTGAGGCTAACAAGCTCAGGCATCTCCACCTGCATAAGGGTCAGGCTTTGATGTTGAAAACAAAAATAAAATCTGGATTGAACTATCATCGTGCAATGCTTGATGCTGATTTCTCTTTCGACAATCCCCATGCGGGTGGCGGTTGTGGCTCACCGTGTGGCTGGTAGCCGAAAATTGGCGCCGACCTCGCTCTTCCGCTAGTGCGCGTCTTCTTGCCTGTCACACCTGAATCAAACTTCACTCTATCTCGCAGCCCCCTCCGACTACTTCCGACCTTCAGGAATTCTATCATTATCTATCGTTCAATGATGACAGACATGCAACAATGGCAGATCTTACCAGCCGATCTGATAGAGCTTCAAATTGGCCAAGTTGAGCTTTTGCTGGCAATGTACCCTGACGAGATCACACTCGACGAGAACTCTCAGGGAATCCTAGATATCCTGCGCGATACCGATGATGCTCGGTCTAGATCTGCAGCCAAATATACGCCGGTCATCCCAGTCATCCTTGACCTGCCAGTATCTACGCACAACGAAGAGTCGCCGAATTCAAGGACATTGCGTCTGGATATCGGGGTACCGTTCGCGTTTCGCGGTGATAAGCCGCCTTTAGACCCACCGACCGTAAAGGTTCGGGTGCAGCAACCGCAATGGATGAACAAAGCCGCCACGTCGCGGTTGACGTCGGACATACCAGAAGACGAAGACCTGCTCAGTAAAATTGAGTACATCAGAGAAGCTGCAGTCGAATACCTGACGGAAATTGAGACGACGGAACTGGGCCCGGATCTCACTGCTGTGGACGCTGGACCGCTGGTAAGGGTTTGGTTCTATTTTCCATCGATCAGCACACGCTCCAAACGCGACGACTTCATCAAGTTTGCTCCTTCTTACCAATTGACCGGCTTTCTTTACGCTGGCAAGCCAGGTATTCTGTGCGTCGAGGGCGGATCACAAAATATCGATGATTACATGAAGTACATCAAAACGGAAAGCTGGGGCGACATCCCGGCCCATCACAAGAAAGTCAGCGAGCGACATCGCGAGCAATGTGAAAAGCGAGTCTTCCCAGACATGACTGAAATTACCGACACAGTCGGTGAGCGACGCGGCCAAAGAGCGAATAGAGGTGACATGAAGGCGATCGAGGAATGGCTTGTGGAGAGGGGACTAGGCGATGCTTTTACAAAGGTCTTAATGTAATCCATCTCTACTTGACCCCCATACGGCCTCGCTACCTAGCTTTACTCAAACATCCTGGACATGGAATATCAGAGTCGGAACTTCTCGCAACCCCTTATCATCTTCATCTTCATAGTACAAGCATACTTCTTGAATAGTCTTGTGGCCCAGTTTCGCCTTATGCTGAGCGAGCAAATGCAGTACGCCACTTCCATTGGGTGTGCCGCATAACGCTATCGCCTCTTCAGACTCTATTGGGAAAGCTATACCTGGCCATCTCGGAAGCCAGGAGTCATTTGAGATTCCTGGCTCAGCTGTTTCCTGTCGTTTTTTACGAAGAGAGGCAAGGATGATGCTACAGATGGCTCGTGTGTTCGCATTGAGAACCTGGTATCTTACTACAAGTCTTAGTTCTGGCATATTGTACCGAGACCTAAAGTTAGTACATACATTCTTCCATTGCAAGAAAGCAACATCGGACCAATGTCGCAGCTCTGGGAGTTTGGCTACCAACGTCGCTGGATCCAGATTCCTATATGGGTTCAGCATTGCTTCCGGGGTCGTGTTGCATTCTGCCAACAAAATACCGGCCTCGGGTTCTATCACGCTGTGAAAATGCGCCATGGTGGCTGGATAGGTCTTACCGTCGACCGTAACGGTCTCGTCGTGATTGGTAAGGATACCCGCTGTAGTGGGAGAAGACTTGAGGGTAGGGCCTAGGGCTCGTACTAGGTTCGTAGCAGGAGTGGGATTCGGGCTAGCAAGAGTGAAAGTACACCAACCCCATACTTCCAGGTCATCGATGTCCTGAAATTTACTTTGAGGCGGACCGTCGGTGATATCCGCGATTGTTAGAGCTAAGAGGCGTTGTCCTTTTTCGACGGCTTCTTCGTATGCCAACGCATGCTTCATGATTGTGCCGAATTCAGGCGTCTTATCACTCATGTCTGGGGTATTGGTATACTATATGGTTGACAGCTGGAGCTGAACTGATGAAGCGACCTTGGGAACGTCAGGTACCTAGATTATCGTGAGCAGGGAAAATAAATCACCACTGGAATGCAACCTTGTACAGCGCTATTCAACGTTCCAAACATCGTGAACGCTTATCACTATCTCGCGAGGATAAACACGAGACATTGCAAAAGTGCGCACTTTCATCCGTGATCGCTGCGCTTCTGGCGTGCACAAAGCCGTTGTGAGCACTCAATGGTCCCTCAACACCACTACCTCGACCTGATGGTAAGGCATTGTAGAACATTCATTTCATT